AAAGCAAAGTTTCAAATACTGAAAGGAATCTCAAATTTTGAATCCACGTGTTAAACATTTTAGGATATTGTTAGAGGTAAATAAACTAGTACCAATTTCTGTCTTTGTTTTTTGGGTAACATATCATCTCTTGGTTTAAGAAAGTTAACTTGTTCTTCAAAACCCTTCCTTGGTAGAAAACTTGTTTTCCTTAATTTATATGAAAAAGGCTATAATCAGCAGCCCCCAAGCAATCATTCATTAAAAATAAAGTCTCAAAACCACTGTTTCCCTAATAAGGCAAACACCTCCATAAAATAGGAGTTGTAAGTAGATACAGAAAGGTTTAGGGAAGATACTATAAAATAGTACCACAAAATTGTGGAGGGCACGTATTACATGGAGCACTGGGTGTGGTGCATAAACAATGAATTTTGGAACACTGAAAATAAAATTTAATTAAATTTTTAAAAAATAACAAAAGGAAATTAAACATCAGCATATATAGCTCATGAAAGAAATGTAAAAGAGAAAGAAAACCATAGAAGACAAAAAGAAAAGCCGCACTGGACATAGTACAAAGAATAGACTTCGCTGAAAGTATGTGAAGATACATGGTGAGCAAAACAAGCCAATGAAATAGAAACTAATAGACAATTTATTTATTTATTTTTAAAGATTTTATTTATTTATTTGACAGGGAGAGATCACAAGCAGGCAGAGAGGAAGGCAGAGAGAGAGAGAGAGAGAAAGGGAAGCAGTCTCCTTGCTGAGCAGAGAGCCCGATGCGGGACTCGATCCCAGGACCCTGAGATCATGACCTGAGCCCAAGGCAGCGCCTTAACCCACTGAGCCAACCAGGCGCCCCACTAATAGACAATTTAAAAGGACTTTCAACATAAGCATAATCAGCATTCTCAAGGAAAACTGACTCAAAAATGTTAATGTTCAATTCATTATATAATTTTATTCAAGGACAATGGCCCCTGTGAACAGTTTGAAATGTGAAAGATACCAGGGAATGCAGTCATGATCCCTACTAGAGGACAGACTTCAGCTAAGCAGAAACTATGGCACAAGGCCTGGAAGTGAGCTCTGAATCCACATAACTGTAGAACTAAAATGAAAGACATTATGGTGGGGCGCCTGGGTGGCTCAGTAGGTTAAGCCTCTGCCTTCAGCTCAGGTCATGATTCCAGGGTTCTGTGATCAAGCCCTGCATCGGGCTCTCTGCTCAGCAGGGAGCCTGCTTTCCTCTCTGCCTACTTGTGATCTCTCTCTCTTTGTCAAATAAATAAACAGATAAATAAAAAAGGAAAGAGATTATGGTTGTTCATCATAAATGTTATACTACATACACACATTAGAAATGTAAGTATTATAAAACCTGACAATATATATTTTTTAAAACTATACAGCTTTTATTCATGATAAAATAAATAACATAAACACTCCCAGAGCAGTTAGGGAGCAATTCACAAAACTTCGAAAAATATCTCATTTAGCTCTTGGGATGCATTAATGAATGATCCATCCACTTGCAAGCAAAATGATCCTTTGATGTCTTCTGCCTCGAGTCTGTCTTTTTGAATTGGTTGTTTTGCTTGTTCAGTAGGTTTTATTGTTGTGGTTGTTTGATATGGCTCAAAAAAAATTAAGGTGTAATATGGACATGTAATACTTCTGAAAGAAACCACTCCTGATCTTTTTTGGTTTCTTTAGGAAGAATATGGCCGTCACTGAATTGAAGGTAATGAAAACTTCAGTCATTCACACCAAAGATGACTCTGTCTAATTAGGATTCTCCCTCTCTAGTGGTCTTCTTCTAGTGTCTTTGGATACCAGCTTTCTCCTGGGTAACCGTGGACCTAGGAAATGAACTCCATTCCCAATGGTCAATTAAGTCAAATGCTACTCCAGCTGACAAAGAGCGAATGTCCAACCTTAGAAACATCATGTCATCTTGTATCACTAATAGCCTTAGCATCTGATTTTTTTCCCTTAGTCTTGAAAATTGTTGGAACCACTGAAACAGTGTTGTGTGGAAGACAGACATCCCTGTGTTTCTGGCCTACTTCAATCTATACTTTGAGGAACTATATTTCTCTCCCTACTTGGTTTCACAACTACATTTAATACTTGTTATGCATCATTAATTCTAGTTTAGTGATTATGGTGCTAAAAATAATAAAAATGAGTGTTTAAAATGGGCATGTTCAATTAACTAAAATGCCTTGTTTGGCTGTGGTCTCCAAACTGTTTCAATCCATAATCCTAGGAAGTATAAGATTTGTGGGCCTTTCATATGTTTATTTACAGGTTATATGCACAAATGCTCCTATATTAATATAGTATATACATTATAAGGCATAATATAGAAATTCTAAAGAATTAAAGATAACACTATTTTATTTATTAATGGCAAATTATTTTTGCTGTCACTAGAAATTATTAATACTAATAAAAATAATGTGACTTAATACACTTTATAATTTCCAAACATCTCAATTTAACCTTTTGTGATTGAGCAATTTAATACTTGGTTTTAATGGCTGTCAGAGATACCTCATGAAGATATGTGGACCTAAGTAGGAAAAGGGCGTCATGACATTCAGTCTCTTAATTTATAATTCCATCCTCCAATAAGGGAAAGGCTCAGGGGTGTTTCGAGGGTTTTTAAAAAATTATTATTTTATTGTAATTGTGAACTGAAAGTCAGCTAGTATATGTCTGTCTCTCCTGATATTAGTTGCTCTTGAAAGTTTACTAAAGTTATTGAATTTTTATAGCTCTAGGAATTGTGTTCTAAAACCACTGAAACTTTATAAGATTTTTTTCCAGTTGGTTAGGACATTCCACTTTCAACTTATTGAACATGCAGATGTGAAGGGTTTCCATAAGTGCCACACATCATTTTTTTAAAACAGAATCACACTTCCAATCACTCATTTTCAAAAATGCTCTCCTGGAAGCATAGATTTCTTTTGAGAAGTAGTTTCTCAATGCATTGTTAAAACACTGCTTCTAAGGGCACCTGGGTGGCTCAGTGGGTTAAAGCCTCTGCCTTCGGCTCAGGTCATGATCCCAAGGTCCCGGGATCGAGCTCCGCATTGGGCTCTCTGCTCAGCAGGGAACCTGCTTCCCTTCCTCTCTCTCTGTCTGCCTTTCTGCCTATTTGTGATCTCTGTCTTTCAAATAAATGGATGGAATCTTAAAAAAATAAATAAATAAATCCTATTTAAAAAAAAAACAACAACACTGCTTCTATAGGGAAGGGCTGTATTTAAATGTATTTTTCAGGGGTGCCTGGGTGGCTCAGTGGTTAAAGCCTCTGCCTTCGGCTCAGGTCATGATCTCAGGGTCCTGGGATCGAGTCCCGCGTCGGGCTCTCTGCTCAGCAGGGAGCCTGCCTCCTCCTCTTGTCTCTCTCTGCCTGCCTCTCTGCCTACTTGTAATCTGTCTGTCAAATTAAAAAAAAAAATGTATTTTTCAAAAGTACACTTAAACTATGAGGTTGTACCTACTGAAACTGTTTGACACATAAAGGTCAGCCAACATGGACACTTGTCTTTTGTTAAAAGAAAAATGCAGTAACAATTCTCTATTCTTTCCTTCCGTGAAGAAGAAATACATTGATGCTCATTACTCATCATCACAAAGTATATACAAAGATGCTACCATATTTCAAAGGTCTCGCTGTTCTAGGATCAACTAAGTAATAGCGTCCTATAACATTCTGTCTAGGTCTGGCTTTAACTCCCTTGCTCTTCTTCAATAGCGTGCTTGATAACTTGCTTACGAATGTTGCAGTAAAAGAACTCATAAAGGTCATTGTTACTGACAGTGAGAGCAAATCCTTATTTCAAATAACCTGGCTGATAATTTCTATGGAGCAGGGATGGCTTCCAGTCAGATTTCATGAAATTATTTTTATCTCAAATGGGAACATCTATGTTCCTCCATCTATGTTCCTACTATCCACTCACTCTTTCTTCCTCTCTATCAGAAACTCAGAGGACACATGACTACCCAGAGCAAAGAGGACACTTCTCAGTCTCTTCCCCCTTGGAGCTACCCAGTGCCTTGAAACTAAGTCTGGGTCACTAGGATGTAAGTAGGAACAATGGATAGCCCTAAGAGGAAGAGAATCGCTTCAACTCCCTTTCCTCTGACCTAGCTGGAATCCAGATGTGATGGCTGAAATCTAAGCAGCCACCTTGCAGCAGGAGGGAGACACCTGGTGTTGACGCAGCCAGAACAGTAAGAGGAAAGGTGTCTGGGTCCTTCATGACCGTGTTGACATCAAGTCAGCCCCAGACGGCCTGTGTTCATGTGGGAGAAATACAGTGCCTTCTTTTTTTGAGTTTTGTGATTTTGGGTTTTTTGGTTCTTGTTGCAATAGGGACCACTAACAGATACACCTGGGAACAGCTGAGGAAGAGCTCACACAGAGACTCAGAGAAGACTCTGCTCTGCCGTCTTGTCACGTCAGCACATGCTCGTGCTGTTTATATGACCTTCACTCTGCAGCTTTTTAACAGAAACTACGTTTAAGCCACTTGCCCATATTGTCAGGAGTTGTCTAAATAAAGGACATAATACAACCATTATGTCTACTCTATCAGGGATGCATGAACTGTAACATTGATCAACAACTCTGAAAGCACATGAACAAGGGGACACCATGAAGCAACTTCCACTCTTCAGACAACTTCAGACCCATGTGTAACCTGTGTCTGAACACAAGGGAACCAGCCTCCATGTTAAACATTAATAAAGCTTCAATTTTTTTTTCTTGCTAAATATATATATACACACAATGAAGTTCTACTTTTCCTCTTGCTCCTCTCCCACCCTTACCAACAAATATCTATACACATCTCCCTGGTCTGTAAGCACTCCACTATCAAGGGTATAGATGGAAAAATCTACATACCTAAGTGTCTGCCGTAAGACTGGAAACTTGCAAAAGCAAATGGCAAATTGAGGGGTGGGTGTATATAAAGATTTTGGTGCCTTACCTGAATACGTCCAGAACAGTCCTTTCTGATAACTTGGGAGCCACCTGCTTAAATGCTTTCTTGAAATCTTCAAAAGTTAAATACCCACGATCTATTTGAAATGAAAATATAAAACATTCACTCACTTCTATAAATCCTATTAACTGTTACCTCAACCATATTTGTGTGAAACTTTCTTACTTGAAGAAAAGCAGTAAATATAAAGTAATCTGAGATTGTCTCATCAGAAGAATTCAAGAATCTACTACCACTCTCCTTCAGGGCAGGCCCAGATGATCTCACAGGTCATTAACTGATTCTCTGAGTGCCACTGGGTTTCAAGTCTATGTGAATTGCCAAAACAATTTATTCATCAAAATTCAGTTTTTTTTTTCTTTCTTGGTGTCAGAATGACAATATACAAATGTTTAGAGGGAAAACATCAAAGCAACGAAGACGCTGACCCTGGACTCCACAAGTCTTTCCATCCTGTGTGTGATCTATGGGGCAGAGGGGGTTCAAAGCCACTTTTCTCAGCTATACCCAGTGTGAGAAAAAAGAGTTCTTTTCAATCACTTGTGGGTCAAAGTAGGAGTCAAAGGAAAAGGCCATAGGTTTCCCCATACTTTTGTAGGTGGCTCATGACCTATATCCCCATGTAGCCAGCCCTTTTGCTATTCCCATTATAATGTAGGCAAATCCTAAGTACAATTATGTAACTGTAAATATTATCTTATCCATGGTAAATGTCAAGAGTTTAAGACTGTGATAGAGGAAAAGAAAATTCATACCAACACCTAGGTAACAGCTAATGAATACAGTAAGATAATCTTCCAAGTATATTAGTTTATTTACTGAGAGTACTTAGCAACTTTTCTTAATAGCAGTTTTTAAAATATCAAAACAATTTAAAGATACTTAACAGTGCCTGTCAAAAGCTGTGAAGATGTGTCTTATTTCATTCCAATGGAGTCGAACTTCCTTCTTTTTTCTAACAATACTTAAAAACTCCTCAAGCAATATACCTAAAAGTTAGAAAAAACAATTTGCCAAAAGTGAACATCTTCCTCTTTAAGAAAAAACAAAAACATAAATGAAAAGTGATACATATCATGACCAATTTTATCATCGTTTTGATGAACAGTGCATATCCCTAAAGCTCTATAAAGTGAAAAAGACAGTTTACTAAATGCAAAATAGACCCAACCCTAGCAATGAATAGCAGAAACGATAGGCAGTTCACTGAGCTCTTCTAGGGGTTAAAGGAATGGTGACCTCGAAAAAGTGCAACACTCTTCCCTCTAAAAGATGGAACACACAGGCCTGAAACTACTTATTAAACAAGGTGTCCTAATTTTTATTTCCTTATGGTTCTTTGATTCCTTTTTTCCTAGCCAGATGTCATTATGGTAGGTTTTGTTTTTCCAACTGGGAGATGGGGGCGAAGAAGTAGTTTCTCAAAAGTCAATACCAATTGCACACCAGAGATAAAGGTGGAGAGAATATTCCATAAACAATAGAGCTGGCATCGTCCCCAGCCTTGGGTACACCCCACCACTACTCCGCAGCCTCGGGCTCTGCTTCCTGTGATTCTCATAATAAAAGAGCCCAGCGTGATCATATAAGGTTGGATACTGTGCTTACAATGTTTATTAAAATGAATTCTAATGTGATCTTTGTAGTAGGTTTAAAGAGGAGAGCCAAGAATTTAAACATTTTTGTGAACTGAGCCCCAAATATATAATATAAAAAAGAGTAGTTCATTTTAGTAACTCAGAATTTCCATTACAAAATGGATCACTATTTTTAAAAATAGCCCCAAATCATACAATAACCATGTGCTAATTTTTAAGAACTTGCACTTTTGGTGAGGTAATACTGAGCTGTATACGTTCTGAAAATAGTTCCAATGGTTTTAAAAAAATAACAAAGAAAATACTTTTCTTAAGGGAACCTTTGTGCAATACTGGTAGGAATATAAATTGGTACAGCCACTGTGGAAAACAGTATGGTAGTTCCTCAAAGAATTTAACAGAACTACCATCTGACCCAGTAATTCCCCTTCTTGGTATTTACCCAAAGAAAACAAAAACACTAATCTGAAAAGATATCTATACCCTCATGTTCACTGCATGAGGGTATTTATTTATACTATTTATTTATACTAGCCAAGATATGGAAGCAACCTAAGTGTCCATCAATGGGTGAATGGCTAAAGAAGGTGTGAAACACATACACACACACACACACACACACACACACACACAGAGGAATACTACTCAGCCATAAAAAAAGAATGAGAGGGACGCCTGGGTGGCTCAGTTGGTTAAGCGGCTGCCTTCGGCTCAGGTCATGATCCCAGCGTCCTGGGATCGAGTCCCACATCGGGCTCCTTGCTCGGCAGGGAGCCTGCTTCTCCCTCTGCCTTTGCCTGCCTCTCTGTCTGCCTGTGCTTGCTCACTCTCTCTCCCTCTGTCTCTGACAAATAAATAAATAAAATCTTAAAAAAAAAAAAAAAAGAATGAGATCTTGCTATTCTCCACAACATGGATGGACCTGGAGGGTACTGTACTAAATGAAATAAATCAGAGAAAAATAACATGAATCCACACATAAAAAAAAGCAAAACAAATGAATAAACAAAACAAAACAAAACTTGAGAGATACAGAGAACAGATCAGTAACTACCAGAGGGGAAAGGAGGGGAGTGGGCAAAATGGGTGATAGGGATCAAGAGGTACAAACTTCCTGTTATCAAATAAATAGGTCATGGGAATGTAACATACAAAATGGTGACTATAAATAATAATGTATTGCACATTTTAAAGTTACTAAGAGAATAGATCTTCAAAGTTCTCATCATAAGAAAAAACGATTTTGTAACTCCGTATGATCACAGGTGGTAACTAGACTTACTGTGGTGAGCATTTCACAATATATACCCATATGGAATCATTTTGTTAAACACCTTAAACTAATATAAAGTCTTATGCCAATTACACTTTACTAAAAATAGTTTTATTTCTCGTGTTTTTCTTATTTGTCCGTTAAAGGTTTAGAAACTTTTTAAAGATTTTACTTATTTATTTGACAGACAGAGATCGCACGTAGGCAGAGAGGCAGGCAGAGAGAGAGCAAGGGAAGCAGGCTCCCCACCGCGCAGAGATCCGGACGCTGGCCAATCCCAGGACTCTGGAATCATGACCGGAGCCAAAGGCAGAGGCTTTAACCCACTGAGCCACCCAGGTGCCACTAGGTTTAGAAACTTTAAAAGTCAATCCGTTTTTATGTTCAAATGCTCCTTTTACAACTTTTTAGGACCCACTGTGTGCCACACAGTGTTGAGCTCTGGAAATAGAGGGGAAAAGAGAACACACACACACACACACACACACACACACACACTCCAGTCCCAAGGGAGTTACCGGTCTAGTGGGGGAGAGAATGATAGCCCAGGTGCACCAGTACATGTACACGTTAATTATAAATCATGGCATGTGGATGACAGAGAAAAGAGGAAGTTATAAAAGGATCACAAGAACCCTCCTGCAGAGTAGATTCTGAGGAAAAAGTACTCTCTAAGAGGAGGGAATATTTAAGATAAGACCCATGACAAGAAGGTACCAACTGGTTAAAGGTGAGGAGGAAGAACATTCCAGGAGGCGGGGGGGGGGGGGGGGGGTCAGGAAGGCAGCTGCATCTGTCCTAAGCAACAGGGCACACTTCCCAGCGCTTCCCAGAGTGCTTGGCACATGCTCAGTAAATGCGCTTTGTATGGAATTTGTGCCTGCAGCTTTTCCCCCCATCACAGCTAAAGACACACAGGGATGCAGCGCTGTTTTCATCTCGGCACCTTTGAAAACAGAGGATGTATGGAGACCACTTGCTGAGGATAAAATTGAAGTCTAGTCATGCCACGTTCCTACAGGTTCAAATCTGTTAACTTTACTTTCAGGAACACCAAAAGCTCATCAATTAGATAGCATCTCGATTAGTTGAAATTCCTGAATAATATGTCACTGATCTCTGCATGTCCTAGGAGACCCTTTACCACCTCGCCCCAGTCTACTTTTCTGGCTTCCCTAGTAAACTTCCTGAGGCTTCCCCAAGGCAACAAACCCTTTCATACCTTTGGGCACATTGCCTGGAATGAGCTTCTCCTTTTTCTCCTATTGAAAGTTTACCTCTCCTTCCCTAGGCAACCAGTACATTGACTCTTATTTGAAGTCTTCCCTGATTTCTCCCAGTTGAGTCCCTTTTCTGTGACCCACCAGCCCTCTGTTCATAACACAATTGATTTTCTTTTTGAATCTATTAGGTCCTATGGTAATTATTTGATCACACATCTACCGGGGAAGCACTGTATGTGGTTTAAGATTTTATTCCCAGCGTCTGGCATCATACCAGGCACATAGTAGGCATGCAATACACGTTCGTTGAATAAGTACATCAAGTAACAGGAAGATGTTATTTCTAGTTTTCAGCAAAAAACATTAAAATGTGTGTTTTAAATGATCTCATAACTGTAAAACTAATGCCAAAAGGAGGTGACTTTCTATTCACCTAGCCAACAAAATAAGCCATCATTTTAGAAACGCCAATTTCTTAATACATATGATACACTGAAAAACAAAATTCAGAGAGAAAAGAAATACATACATAATATTTGCTCTTCTCTTATCATTGCATTTGATTTAGGGAAATGATAAAAACACAAAACCAAACCAAGACAATTCTATGGTTCAATATATGATTCACACACACACACACACACACACACACACAGAAAGACATGAGTAGTAATAACTTCTAAATTACATATTCAGAAAACTTATTGGTATTTGGAACTACAAAGCAGTTAGGTCTTTATTTCAGAATCCTGTGGGGTAACAAGCAAATGTTCTTTAGTTTTTCCTAGGAGAAAATGTGGATTTCAATGGAATGTTTACTATCACCTAAAAAGGACAACAATCTAGGGGCACCTGGGTGGCTCACTGGGTTAGGCCTCTGCCTTCGGCTCAGGTCACGGTCTCAGGGTTCTGGGATCAAGTCCTGCATTGGGCTCTCTGCTCAGCAGAGAGCCTGCTTCCCCCTCTATCTCTCTGCCTGCTGTTCTCCCTACTTGTGATCTCTCTCTCTCTGTGTCAAATAAGTAAAATCTTTAAAAAAAAAAAAAAAAAAAGGACAATAATCTAATAACACAAATAATTCCATAATGTAATCAAGTTCTTTTACACTATTTTCCCACAGGATCATATGCCTTATTTTTTGAAGCCAATGTTCTAATGGTCATCAAGTAATATTAAGCCATAAAAACACATCCCCACTGCTCCCTCCACCCCCATACCCTTAATTGTCTTAATCTTGCACAGCAACATATATCCAAGTGCAAGCCCCTTTTCTACAAAGGGTAGAGTTTCATTCAGCTTGGCTCTCACGCTCCAGTAGTACAACCACTTTCCAAAGCCAATGCATAATAGTTTGCTATTACTAAAGCTCTGAAATGCAAACACACTATTGTAAGTTTTATACATTCTGTGGCTCTTTAAGTGGCCGAGAAATAAAGTTTCTACAACTAGCTCCCCCTGCTGTCACAATATTCAAACCAAAAATTACCTCTTCACAAAGACTCAATAATTCTATTGCCATCAGATTTCATACTCGATGACAAATGCATTACCTGTGTCCACCCCTGGAGTGAAAGAATATGTTCAGAAAATTCTAATTTCAAATACAATGTTGGGTCTCCTATGTACGTTTTTCCACTAATAACAGTTGCCCAAACCATTTTATTGTGGTTACACATTAGTATTGTGACAAGATCAGGAACCGCGTAGACCTATATGTTTATCTGAGTTTATTATTAATCTATCTACAAAAGGTGTTCAGAAATCACCTGGGTAGTTGGACTCTACCAGTAGTTTGCAGACCTTTTTTTTTTTTTTAACTGTAGCAAAGGTGGGGCTCTTTATAAAACAAGAAAGTCTGACTATAAAGGAAATGAAAGCAGAGCTCTTCTGTTGGA